AACAGATGCAAAAAAGCTTGATCGCAATAATTAATCATCGCGAACTAGTTTATTCCTGGTAAATCGCGAAATAAAGTCATCGTGAATAAAAGTTGGTTTACAGTAATCTACACTGTACATTAACTGCCTCCTAACAACAAAGGCTATTACTATGATTTAACCTCTTCCCTGACTGGCCCACTTAGAGAATTTTTTAATTTCTCCCTCCACCTGTCCCCTTACCTGATATTAGCAGGACTCTTCCCGCTCCCATCAAACACGCCGCCCTGTAACAGGTGGGCCACAGTATAGTACGCCATGTAGACCGTGGAGTCAGAGAGAGACTCTACAAGGTACTGAGGGTCCCACGGAATGCGGCTCCCTACAGACAAATAAACAATATCAAGACTCCACAAGGTACTCCCACAGACAAACAAATAAACAGTCACAAACAACAGCAAGGGGTGTTCTAAAAATAATATGTTTATGCAAGTAAAAGGTATATATCTCAAGTTGAAATTTTCAAAAATGGTCCAACTGCTTCACAATTATTAACCAGTAACAACCATCTTTAATACATTTATTTCTAACAAAACAAAATGTTTTAGAACTGTTGGCATCAAAGATTACCACTGCATTTATACATAAAAGCAGCAGTAAGAGTTTTGAGTCAATGTTCACTTTGGCATCACATTAATTTGATGTCTGATAGCAATCAGCACCACAGTACGAGTGATGCCATGAGAAGACCGATTATCCGTCTTAGATAGAGTAAAACACGCTTACAACCAAGTCCAAGGAACAAACGATTTTGCTTAATTATAAGCATAATTCATTATATCCTTTAAGTTTACAAAGTCAGAAGGAATGACAATCACTTTGCTATAAATGTCAATTCACAATAAGCATGTTTGCTATAAGCGTGTTTTTACTGTATTTAAAATTTCAATTCAATACTACATGGAATAATAATAGAATATTCCTGTATGCAGAGCATATAGTGGTAAAGTTATTAAAATAAGAGCTCTATAATTTAAGTAATCCATATGATCAGGAGAAGGCACAAAGTGGTAAAGTTGTTAAGATAAACAGCTGTATAATTTACCTAATCCATGGGATCGGGAGCAGACATAAAGTGGTAAAGTTGTTAAGATAAATGGCTCTATAATTTACCTAATCCATAGGATCGGGAGCAGGCATAAAGAGCTGTATAATTTACCTACATGTAATCCATAGGATCAGCAGCAGACATTAAATGTAAAAGTTAAACTAGAACTGTCCAGTAGGGACAAATACCCCCCGCTGGGTTTTTCAGAGAAGGTGCCAATTCAAAAATACTTTATGGATCTAGAGGTGTTCACAATTTACTTACAAAATTTGCAGTGAAATATAATTGCATGCTCATCATGCTTCTTAATGAATGAAACAAAGGTGCAACCAAATGAAACATCAATACTAATACATTGTAATTCCATTGTAACATTATTTTTTTATTTTATCTTTTTATTTCTGCATTAAAAAATATATTGCAATTATGTGTTATGTCACTCTGCAAACTGATTGTTGAAAAAAAATCATATTATACAAAATCAAATTAATCTTGATAACTTTATATCAAATTCATTTTGAAAATAAAGAGCTGGTCATCCAGTAATGAAGTGCTTTGACAGACAATAAATTACAATTAAGAGAATAAGAGAAGAGAGATCTTTAATTCTTGTGCCCGATTCCCAGGAGATAACATATGGTTCATAATGAGATACCTTAATGTTCAACTTCCCACACCAAACTCATTAATTTATCTTTAACTGGATGCATGTCCAGTCATTATTCCCAAGAGACAAATGAAATTACATTATCTTCTGTGCAATGTAAAAGGTGTTTTTAACACTTGATGATGTTTCTTTTTTTTCAGTTTTTATGAGTAGTTTTAAGCTGTAGTTAACGTTTTTGTACAGATATTCTAGATTTTATGTCTCAAACCTTATACATGAGCCCAAAATGAACAAGTCAATTAAAATAAAAAATAAAACCTGTAAAATGCATAAAAATGAACAAAAAGAGTTGAAAATTCCAGGTGCACACCTTCATATGGTGAATAATAAGTGTACAAATTTTCAGATTAATCCTTGCAATAGTTTCTGAGAAACGGTCCGGACAAAACCACAAAATAAAAATGAAAAAACACCTGTAAAATTTAAAATAATAATCGAATCAAGATGAAAATTTCAGGTGCACAACTTCATATGGTGAATAATATGTGTACAAATTTTCAGACAAATCCTTCCAATAGTTTCTGAGTAATGGTCCGGACAAAATCTTGTCTACAGACAGACGGACAGATGGACAGCTATACAGTTGAGAGGTACATTGTGCATTTTACGGAAGGTGCGGGGTTATAATTTTGCTTTGTGGGGTTATTAATAGTACAGTGGTGACTTGAGAGGTTTCATTAGGAATTCAAACAAATGGTATATTGTGGGGTTAAAGGTCTATATTTGTGGGGTTAAAGATCTATATTTGTGGGGTTAAAGATCTATATTTGTGGGGTTAAAAATAAATTATTTAATATCAAGTCAACTTTACGGGCAACTAATTATAAGTACTTAAAATTGTTACTGTTTATCTGAAGAACTTAGAAGGGATATAGCAATAACATTTTTCAACTACTGCATAACAGTAACAATGCAAAAAAATGTTTTTATTTGAGGATAACTGTTGCATCAAAGTAAATTAACCCATCATGTTTTCACATGAAGATGATAGACAAGAATATCCCAGAAAGTGTTAAACAAACAACCCAAATATGCTATATAGATATAACAGACAACACTAACCCCATAAATTATAAGACAAACAACCCCAGTATGTACTCTTATAAAGATAATAGATAACACTAACCCCATTAAGTGTTTGGACAACAACCCCACTATGTATTCTTATAAAGATAATAGACAACACTAACCCCATAAAGTGTTTGGACAGCAACCCCACTATGTACTCTCATAAAGATAATAGACAACACTAACCCCATAAAGTGTTTGGACAGCAACCCCACTATGTACTATCATAAAGATAATAGACAACACTAACCCCATAAAGTGTTCGGACAACAACCCCACTATGTACTCGCATAAAGATAATAGACAACACTAACCCCATAAAGTGTTTGGACAGCAACCCCACTATGTTCTTATATAGATAATAGACAACACTAACCCCATAAAGTGTTTGGACAGCAACCCCACTATGTACACTCATAAAGATAATAGACAACACTAACCCCATAAAGTGTTTGGACAGCAACCCCACTATGTACTCTCATAAAGATAATAGACAACAATAACCCCATAAAGTGTTTGGACAGCAACTCCACTATGTACTCTCATAAAGATAACAGACAACACTAACCCCATAAAGTGTTTGAACAGCAACCCCACTATGTACTCTCATAAAGATAATAGACAACACTAACCCCATAAAGTGTTTGGACAGCAACCCCACGATGTACTTTCATAAAGATAATAGACAACACTAACCCCATAAAGTGTTTGGACAGCAACCCCACTATGTACTCTCATAAAGATAATAGACAACACAAACCCCATAAAGTGTTTGGACAGCAACCCCACTATGTACTCTCATAAAGATAATAGACAACACTAACCCCATAAAGTGTTTGGACAGCAACCCCACTATGTATTGTTATAAATATAAAAGACAACACTAACCCCATAAAGTGTTTGGACAGCAACCCCACTATGTATTTTTATAAAGATAATAGACAACACTAACCCCATAAAGTGTTTGGACAGCAACCCCACTATGTACTCTCATAAAGATAATAGACAACACAAACCCCATAAAGTGTTTGGACAGCAACCCCACTATGTACTCTCATTAAGATAATAGACAACACTAACCCCATAAAGTGTTTGGACAGCAACCCCACTATGTATTGTTATAAATATAAAAGACAACACTAACCCCATAAAGTGTTTGGACAGCAACCCCACTATGTACTCTCATAAAGATAATAGACAACACTAACCCCATAAAGTGTTAGGACAACAACCCCACTAAGTACTCTTATAAAGATAATAGACAACACTAACCCCATAATGTGTAACAACCCCATTATGTTCTTATATAGATAAAAGATAACATTAACCCCACAAAGTGTTAGACAAGAACCACAATATGTTCTGATAGAAAATATTAGACATCTTAGTAACCTCAGAGTGTTAAACAAACAACCACGCTGTATTCTCATGTAACAGATACCAGTAACCATATGAATTTAAGTGTTTGAAAACCCCAGTATGTTCTAATATCAAAAAACTCTACCAGGGACTGGTAATAAAAGAACAAGAACCCCCACTATGTTCAATCGCAACTTCTCGAGCCTTTCTGACTAGCTGACAAATGACCTCGAATGTATTAGTTAGACGCCATGGCAACAACCCCCCCTTTTCATGATCTTCGAAATAAATGCATGAAGACCTTTTATCTGTGGAATATGGAGTTTAATTTTATTCAATGCTATGATATTACATAAAACTTACTATAAAAGGGACTTCTTACTTCCTCTATCCTATATTTGAAAAAAACAAGAAAAGCATAACCTTTAACATCAGGTGATGTTAATACATTCGAGGTTGTTTTTCCGAACTCTGACGGAAAGACCCTGAGTGAGATGATGCAATTGCCAGTACGTCATATCCTTTTTTTTTACTATTAAAAATACCAAACTATACTCATAATACTTTTTTCTATTTTGATAACATACTTGAAAATTTGTTTTAAATATTTTTCAAACTATTTTTAATTGGATAATCTCTTTATCTTAACTGCTTATTTCTAATGAGAATTTTCCCTTTGAATCTGCTGGTGCATGAATTTGAAGTGTACATTATGCATCAAAAGCATACATAATTTCTTTGTAAATTAATAATAATAAATAAAAGAGATGATCCTGATTTTTTAAAAAAAAATTTAATCAAACTTTTCAGTTACTCGACAAGATGAACACAGATAAGAAACATGTCAATAAATGTAGAACACAGAAAAAAACCCTCAAAATTTGAGACAATCTTCATAAATGTAAAAAAAAAACAAGTATATAGTGAGTTGTCAAATAACTCTAAAACTTGCATGGTGTTGCTACTTATTTTAAACAAAATATATTAATTTAAATGAAGTTTTAAGAAAAAATGTGTAGTCTAATATCTCATCATTTTGCATTTTAAAATTGATATTTAAACAAAAATAACGATGTACATCCTTTTGGAAAATATACTCAAACTTAACAGCTGCACCCTCACTCCCATCCCCTAAAATAAAATGAAAAAAAAACAACAACATGCAATTGATTTACAATTTTCAAAAAAATAAAAATCAAACAACATAAATAAACATTTCAGTTTAATAATTATTTCTCACATTTAAAATGAGATCGCTAATTAAAAAAGACGAAAACTATGACTGTTACTTAATGTATAGAAATTCACCATGACGAATGCAATGTTCATAAAAGATCCTTTTGTCTTAAAGCTGAACAGTATTCATAAACATAAGTAATCAGAGATTACATAGCTCAATTCAAAAAATGATTACTTCAAGTAAGAAACGGTCTCACATTTAACTAATAATCAAGAAGTTAATTTAAGGTTTGCAGTAACTTGAGAATAGACATCCAAATACTTGAAACTAGTTGCCCATCAAGAAAATCACTCTCTACCATCGGCTCATACATTCACCTCTGTCGTTGGCTCGCGTATACACAGTTTTAAACATGAGAAATAGTGCGTTTGTTTTAATTCATTACAATTCAATTTCTATGTTTATGTCTGAATTTTGAGATAGATATTTACTAAATCAATCCAGAACTATTGATTTGAATTGAAACAATTCTTCAAATATCAAGTTTTATACGTTATGTCAAAAATCTTGACGTGAGCCCATTGCAGAGGTGTCTGAGAGAGGAACGAACGACAACTCTGCATGTGTCTGAGAGAGGAACGAACGACAACTCTGCATGGGAGATTGCAAGAAAATGTCATTCAATCCACGACCCCTGAAAATGTTATCTTTTTAAGATCAACTATCAAAAATCGATTCATCTTCTTTTTCTGAAAAGTAAGTCAGGTCCTAAATGTCGCCGTCTGGAGCAGACAATGGCAAGAATGAATCGGGATTGTGCTTGTTCTTCTGAAAAGTCTTTCATTCATACTTCATGTATACCTGTCAAAAAAAAAATACAGTAAAATATATTTCTAAATGATAATGTTCAATTTTTTTTACAGGTTATGTTTTAATTTATTGTAAAATAATATTGTTGTCTTGATTTTATGGGCACTTATAACATGTACTAACCATCAATCTGGATGTCTTTGATAGTTGCTTTCCTTAAATTTGTGAACTATATTCAGATCACAAATTGTGTGTTCAAGTCATAGGTCTGTTCTTTCAACTTTATGAATGTCCGACGCCTGCTGGTGTTGCTGCAAAAATAGAGCGGCCTAGATCATCAAAGTTCCACTGATGTTCACTTTCAGTATCTGAACTCTACAAAGGAATACAGAAGCAAATGTTTATTTATATCACATACAAAAATTCCGAGTTACTAATTAAAATTCATCGAAATTTATTTAAAGCATAGTTGTCATGTACTGTGAACTACTTTCTTATATTGGTAAAAGGTGAAAAAGTACAGTCAAACTTGTTTTAAGCTTTGGGAAGTCCAGAAACTAGCCACTTAAGACAGGTGGCCTCTTATTCTAGTTTGCCCAAGAAGTAGCCAGTCAGTCAATAAATAAACAGCAATAACCACTACAGTTGATTTAATTAAACATGTCAATTTCACAAAACCTTTGTATGTGTGTATATATATATTAATCCATGCCTATTTAAAAAATATGAAATTAAAGAATTCCAAATTAAATTTTTAAGGTTTTGTTCATAAGTGTTCAGAGTTCCAGAAACGCACCGGTCCACCGGGGATCCCCGGTGAACTTTGAATGGGACCGGTAAAATCTTAATTTTATTGGTCAAAATGTCCGATGTTTTTTTTTTTTTTTTTTTTTTACAGACTGTATAACCTTTACATATAATCTTAACAAAATCATTTAATTCAATTGTCCTGACAATAAACAAATGCAAAACTAAAGGAATGAAAAAAAAAAAACGTCAGGGCATCGCCAGATCTTGTTTAAATAAAATGTAGACGTTGATTGTCTACTATAAAAAGCTACATATTAAAATAATAATTTCCATAAGTCTGGGAGGAAAAACAGTTTTAAAAACCCTGTCAACAAATATTTTCAATGATAAATATATGCACTCTGTAGTTCTGACAGTAAAAAAAAGTGACAATCTACTTTCGTTTTGAAGGACGAATTTGCAGGGTTGCAAGAGTGCCTGCTATTTCTGCTTGATTACAGACAATTTGTTACCATTTATTATTTTCTCTATAATTTAATCTATTAGCATGATAATATTATACCAACTTCTGGATTTTTTTAAATGTATTTGATAGCATTTAAAATACAAGCGCGTTTTTCCCCTTTTCTAAAAATAGCGGATTGACTTGAATGTAGTAAAACGACAACAAATTCACTTAAAATCATCATTTTCATGATAAATTTGCATATCTTTATATCATTAGTACATATTTTTAACTGTATGGAGGTTGTATAATAAATTTTAACTAGTCAGAAATATCGGACGTTTTACCAAGCTTTTTAAAACGAGTTTGATATTTTACGTAATATTTTTCCTGGCACATAAAATACAAAAATCCAAAAGAAAAAAGCCTGGAAAACAACATATTTTCCAAACAATCAACCAAGAGTTGTCGTGTTGCAGATTTTATTTTTAAAACATTTTTAAAATCTGTCAGAAAGGACATAATAAATTTATACATGAATTAAGCGTTGGTCATCACACGCCTTCGGCGACGTCAAATCCTGCATACAAAGGCCATATACAAAATATTTCAATAATTTTTTTTTTAATCTGCCATCTTTTTATTTACACATATCATTTATTATATCGTTACAATTTCCAATCCTATAATATGTTAAATTTACATACAAAAAATTAATGTCCGGTAAATTTTACAACTGTCCGGTGAATTTTGAATATTTACAAGACAATTGTCCGACATATTTTTGACTAGTTTCGGGAACTCTGAGTGTTCCTTTGTAACATTCAAATCATTCAAGAAGAAATACATGTGCCTTACTACTATCTATTTTTTAAATAAGAAAAAATATAAAAGCTTTAATTAAAAGACAGTTTAATGGTGAATTAAATAAAGTATAAAAAATTATTTCAGTAAATGTCAATAAAATTCATTTAAAAACTTCACTATAATATGTTCAGGTAATGATCAGCAGTGTAACCCCCCCCCCCTTTCAATTAATCCTCGATCAACTACTTTGCTGAAGTTTTTAAAGTCTGGTAATTTTTTAATATTATTTTTATAAAGCTGTCAAAATTTCTATCTAACATACAGACACACACAAAAAATTATTCAATTGACCAAAGATTTGTATTAACGCAGTTTAAAATCATTCTACTACAACACAGGTGTCAAGTGCACCAGAGCGTAACTAATCCCTATCGATCGTCTCCTGATGGTGAAATTCACGAGATAATCATGCTATACAAACAGAGTTGCAATTAGAGCTTCTACACGGAATCAAAATCTAACAGGTGTAAAAATAATGATAGCCCTGTATTAGCTAAGTTACGTACTCTCACTGTAAATATTCAAAGTAATGATGAATTAATATTGTAAATTACAAAATGAAGCTTTAAGCTTGAATTTCTTTAAGTTTAGCTATAGAAAAACTATTAATTGTGATTTAATTCTTTTAAATTTGCAATGGTCGATCTTGAAAAATAAGTACAAATTGATCTTACAGGACGATTATATTTTTTCCATTAACACAAAGAGAGTTATATAAACGTATCTAAAGGTAATTTGTTTAATTTCTTTAATAGGTGAATTTTTTTTATCCGGCACATAATTACACAAACGACTGTGTAAGCAATGTGACATATTGGGTATTTTAACAACTGATTAAAATGTCCTACACTCATTTATAAACATTGATTGTCATTTATCAAATTGATATACCACTAAATTTTACAACCTAATTATACAACCCCATGTTGATTCCTTCGAAGCCTACTTGCTGCGAAAATTTATTGCAGTATAATTCCATTTTTCCATTCTGATTTTTTCTCTATAGATTAAGGTACGATTTCAAGTACATGTAAACAAATGTGTGAAGAGTAGATAAACAATCGGTAAGTATCTAGAATGAATTAAGAGAGAGAGAGAGAGAGAGAGAGAGAGCAATTATACTACGAAACAGGATAAAATTAAAGCCAAAAATATTCAATTTGAAAAAAATTTAAACACGGATGATTTAAAAATTAATCGGAAGGGGCGGAAGAGGCGTGAAAAATCCAGAGATTTTGTCTCCCATCGGAAGAATCACATGTATTTATGTTATGAGATATCTGCATGTAATTACCATAGATATAGAGAAAATTCGAATTAAGAAAAAAACACGATCGTATTTTGAAGTAAATAAGCCAAGTAGTACTCCAACACGGATTAAATTATGGAGATTTATTGACAGTTGGAGCATGTTATATGGAAAATTTAAATGGTTTGGATTTTTGTTGCAAAAAACGAGTGAAAATACGTACCAGGTGTGCTTTGCATGTATTGCACGTGTATAAATAATATTATCTTTTTTAACTGGCCAACGGGGCGACCCTCTTGCAGAAAACCACTAGCCCGACCTCCGGGTATCGGTCGATTTTCATTGCAGACCTCTGATTAAAAAAAGAACTATCAGTGCATTCAATCATTATCATTTTTTTCACAAAAGCCCGTTTTCAATCGGTATGTGTTTATGTGGACTACAAGTGTCCTTTCCTTCACTTTAAATAAATTCTACAACTGCATAATCTACGTATGAATCATATCAAACAACTTACAAAGCTTTTTTTCAATGTGGTGCAACAAAATAGTAAGACTTACTGCATTTGCTTTTTGTGTTTCCGAATTTCCTCACTGCTAATACAAAATGTCCACACAGCTACTTCCGTATTCTGCGCATGCGCAGTTAGTTTTAAATATATGCGCATGCTCAGGTATTCGGAACTCCTCGATTCAATTACCGAACTCCTCTAAACAGCAGATTTCTGAATGTCTGAGCGTTTTGGGCTAAGGACATGTCCAAAATTTGGACAAAGTCTTTGTGAGGTTAAATCTAATTTTAGGTTTTTCGACCTCATAGAGTAATTTTGAACGTAATTAGACCTCTTCATTATGGGGTTAACCCCACAGTACCCAAAAAACCCCACACTGCTGGAAAATACGTTAATTTTACCCCACAATGTACCTCTCGTAAGAACAGACAGACAGACGGACAGACAGACGGACATGGTGATTCCAATATACCCCCCCTAAACTTCGTTTGCGGGGGGTAAAAAAAGGCTCTTTAATTTCCGTAACCCACAGGATTATGGGAGCAGGCATAAACAGCTGTATAGTTTACCTAATCCTTAGGATCAGGGCAGGCATAAACAGCTGTATAATTTACCTAGTCCATAGGATCGGGAGCAGGCGTGTTCGTGGAGCCAGTCCAGAGTGGCGTGGAAGTTCTCCCTTACATGGTCGGAGTAGGTCTCCACAGAATTCAAACACTGGGCCGTTACCTGCTTCCACTTCTCTTCACCATATTCCAAGTACCTTTTAAAAAGAACACCAACATACAAGTCAGAAAATAGTTTTTTAGGACACATTGTCTTCTAGACTTTAATAACTCAAGAGACTAAGTTTACACTATAAAAGCATTACAAAACAAGGAAAAGACATAAATCCATGAATTTGTTTAAAAAATTGGTCTTTTCTTTCACTCTTTCATTTATTCACCAACTCTTTGTAAATATTTTACATATGTAAATCACTCAAAACTTGAGTAGATTTTATTGTACAAAATCTAATTAGTAATAAAGTGCCACGCCACAGCATGATACGCCCGTCAAAAAATTACAATTTTCTTGAGGGCTATTCCAGAAAAAAATGTATGGGAGGGTTGGACGGCACGTCATATATTTTTGTATGGGTAATGGGGACTGGAGCAATTAAATTTGCATGGGTGGTTGTCCTCACCCGATATATTTTTAGATGGGTGGTTGCGTTTACCCTCACAAATAATCAACTGCAAAGAACTTCTTTCCTTTCATTTTGTATAAGCCAGTAAATATTGATATCTATTTTAAACCAGAAGTCTCTCTCGAGACTGTAGCTCTACTGGTTTGTACTTATAACAAAGGATGAGAAAAGAAGCCATTGCCATCAGACCAAAACTGTAGAAGGAGTAGCGTTATAAAGGAATTTCACAGACATTTCTATTTTTAGTAACCATGGCAACACCGTTCATCGAAATCAAAAACCGATGCACTATTTTATATATCTTAGTGTAGTCTACTTGTGTGCCAAGTTATATTGCAATCAGACCAAAACTGTAGGAGGAGAAGCATTTTAAAGGACTTTCACAGAAAATTCTATTTTTAGTAACCATGGCAACACCGTTCATCGAAATCAAAAACTGATGCACTATTTTATGTATCTTTGTGTAGTCTACTTGTGTGCCAAGTTATATTGATATCAGATCAAAATTGTAAGAGAAGTAGCGTTTTAAAGGAATTTCACTGAATATTCTATTTTTAGTAACCATGGCAACACCGTTCATCGAAATCAAAATCCGATGCACTATTTTATGTATCTTAGTGTAGTCTACTTGTGTGCCAAGTTATATTGAAATCAGATCAAAATTGTAGGAGGACTAACGTTTAAAAGGATTTCACAGAAAATTCTATTTTTAGTAACCATGGCAACACCGTTCATCGAAATCAAAACCTATGCACTATTTTATGTATCTTAGTGTAGTCTACTTGTGTGCCAATTTATATTGAAATCAGATCAAAATTGTAGGAGGAGTAGTGTTTTAAAGGAATTTCAAAGAAAATTCTATTTTTAGTAACCATGACAACACCGTTCATCGAAATCAAAAACTGATGCACTATTTTATGTATCTTAGCGTAGTCTACTTGTGTGCCAAGTTATATTGAAATCAGATCAAAACTGTAGGAGGAGTAGTGTTTTAAAGGAATTTCAAAGAAAATTTATTTTTAGTAACCATGGCAACACCATTCATCACAATCAAAATCCGATGCACTATTTTATGTATCTTAGTGTAGTCTACTTGTGTGCCAAGTTATATTGAAATCAGATCAAAATTGTAGGAGGACTAACGTTTAAAAGGATTTCACAGAAAATTCTATTTTTAGTAACCATGGCAACACCGTTCATCGAAATCAAAAACCGATGCACTATTTTATATATCTTAGTGTAGTCTACTTGTGTGCCAAGTTATACTGAAATCAGATCAAAACTGTAGGAGGAGTAGTGTTTTAAAGGAATTTCAAAGAAAATTCTATTTTTAGTAACCATGGCAACACTGTTCATCGAAATCAAAATCCGATGCACTATTTTATGTATCTTTGTGTAGTCTACTTGTGTGCCAAGTTATATTAAAATCAGACCAAAACTGTAGGAGGAGTAGCGTTTTGAAAAATTGTTTACAGACAGACGGAAAGACAGACAGACAGACGGACGGACGACGGACACCTTACTATCGCATAAGCTCTTCTGGTCTCTGACCAGTAGAGCTAAAAAAACGTCCAAAACAGTTGAGAAGTGTGTTTACATTGAAAGTGAAAGTAGAATCGAACAAACCGGAAACAAGGGCAGATAATTATAAAAGCACATGGTGTAATGACAGTGGAGGATTGGAACACAGTTTCTTTGTGTTCTTTATTGCTTCCAGCTCAAGTTTCATTCCAGCAATTTATTGAAACGTGATTACAATGGTAAATTAAATGTTTTAGAAACAATCAGAGAGATCGTTTGATTAAAACCGAAAGTAGAAAAAAAACGTATCTGATAATAAATATCCTGTTGAGTGTTACCAGACTAACCTTGAATATATTTTTAGCCCGGCCATAACATACAAATGAATTTTAAAAATATATTTCAGAAACAAGTGCCTGCACGGTTGTTAGGTGGGATTGAGACTTAATTCATTTTTTTTTCACGTCCCACTAAATAGACAATGCCCTACATAACTTTGGTGCCCCCCCCCAAAAAAAAAAAGAATAGAAACTTATAGGCTATAGCAGGAACTCTGTGGCCTGTGTTACAAAATAACTTTGAACTTGAACCAAAAAAATTAGCTGATTGTAAAATCTTACAAAACTTTTGTTTCTGTTAAAATTTGCATAAAAATATCTTTCTAAATTCTTTTCAAAAAAGATAAACTATTTTCAAAGTAATGAAAAAATGAAAGTTTTGTGCTTAATATTTCGATTTGCATCATATTTTTTTTTCTTTTTAATTGAGTCCATCGTTTGGATACATTCCAAATGCGAACACTCAGTTCAAGTTGCATATTAAAGTGCAAATGCTTCAAAAAAGTACCAGTACATAAAATTTTATTTTATATATACATAACTTAAAACACAATTCTTTAAACAATTATTTTAAATTTAGATGGGTGGTTGTATTAAAAGCATTTTTAATTTGATGGGCAGTGGGGGAGAAAGCAATTAAAAATGTATGGGTGGTGGGGTAAAAATAAAAGTGCCTTCCAACCCCCCCATACATTTTTTTCTGGAATAGCCCTGAACAGTTTAGGTGCAAGAAAATCACATCAACCTTGATTCTAAGATTTCGATGATTTTTCCATTTCTTAAAATATTTATCCATCCCCTGTGATGTAGGCATCAATTATAATAAATATTACATCACTGATAGATTTCTGTGCTGGTTGTGTTAGACCTTGTCAAATGCCCATCATCAAATTAGTCTTAACAACTTAATCTATACCAAATTAATTTTGAAAAGAAAAGGCTGGCCATCAAATGACATATGTTATAAACTGACCAGCAGTTCTTCTGTCTAATCCCCAAAGGGTACAGATAAGGTCACTGCTTAATCAGAGCGACTGAGAAAGCTAGCCTTCCTACATTGAACTCATTAATTAATCTTTAACTAGATGCTTGTCTACTCATTACTACCAAGAGATGAATGGGTCTGCACTATCTACTATAAATTTAATAAAATACTCAAAGATTTTTTTTTTTTGGTTGAGATTTAATGTCCGACAGGTTTTAATATGTAATTCATATGGACATGCCGATTCCACCTCACCACAAAAAATTAGTTTTTAAATTAATAATATTACATAATATCAGATTAGTCTATTATGCAATATCAAATTAGTTTTAATTACTTTTCATCAAATTCATTTTAAAAATTGAGCTAGTCAACAAGAGCTATTTTTAATCACACAGGCTTACCCATTTGCCCAATACTCAAGGGATATAGATAACACCAATGCTAGCTCCTCGCACTCAAAACCCATTAATTTCTCTCTAATTTGACATGCAATATTCTGTTATCAAAATTCTTCTTGACCAGTGCTTGATAATTACACTCATGGGAGAGGCAGGATTTCTCTGACATACATTATATTTGTTATAGATTGCTGTCAAGTATATGCTTAAAAAAAAATAAGCATTTTCTTGATTTAACACTTTTTTAATAAGAACAATGCAATACTCTTACATTATTTGGGATGTGTAAATGAATAGTAAAAAGACACACTTTTTTTTAAAAATTCACTTAAATTAAAGGTCACAGTGACCTTGAAATAGGTCGCGACACACCTTCTACCTAAGATGCATAAACTGGCCAAGTTTGATGATTGTAGGTCTTATGGTTTTCTAGTTATGGGCCGGAAAGGATTTTTCCATATTTGGCAATAACTTCTTAAATAAAGGTCAGAGCGACCTACTTTTTGTGCGCGACACACCTTCTACCCAAGATGCATCAGATGACAAAGTTTGATAATCCTAGGCCTAGTAGTATTAAAGTTATGAGCTGGAAACGAAAAAGCTAACAGACAGACGGACAGACGGACGGACACGAAGCCTATAACATAATACGTCCCGTCTTAAGACGGGCTTATAAAAAACACACATCTATTCAAAATCTACAAACTCAAATAATGATTTAATTTTTAGGTTATCAAATTCAAACAATTTTAATACACATGTACATGTAAATGAACTGGTAACTTATCATTAGGCCAAAGTTTTTTTTTCTCTTGGTTTACGATTCCGCCGACCCTATTTTTCCCTATTTACGAAAATAAAAATAATGTGTCTGACTCGAAATTTTCTTGACCAAACCAAAATTTACAACTCATCTTAATCATTTACCCAAACTCTCACAAACATTCAATGAACTCTACAAATACAGATTGTCAAACCACATTGCCAATGACCAATGCATCGAATACTCCTCTAGATTTTACACTTACGGGTATGAAAAAGTCCATCATTACAAGTTATACA